CACCTACGGTAGTACTTCTCCAGGGCAGCTCTGTGGGTGGGCAAGGGCATGGGAGCCTCCACAGGGCGGGTGCTAGGTAGACAGACATGGGGGAGCAGTGCTTCATATTCTGCCCCTCTCATTGTCTTTTATACCCCCATTCTGACATCAGATCTAGGCTGTTCCCCTGTAATCCCCATGACCTCGTGGTAGAAGACTGGCACCAAGTGTGGAGCTCAGCTTGCTCTTGTGGCAGAAGAAATGAAGACAGCACTCTCAGATTGGCATTAGGTACCAGACTCGGTGGTTGCTCCACTCTGTCCTGAATCACCATGGATAGTAAGGCTGCATGACTGACTGGCCACACCCAGTGGTCCAGCAGCTCTGCTGTGCACTAATCGCCTGTCTCAGAACTACTGAGAACATCTCCAGGAAAGACATACAGCTGTCCCACTTTTGCAGTGCTCTCTGACTTTGACCATGGCCCTCCTCCCCACTTTCATCACTATGTAACAGGAATTCTCTTTCTGGGAACACACACTGAGAAATGCTCATCTCTGAGGTAGAAACACTACCAAGTGAGAGAAGAAAGCATCAGCTCAGAGCTAAAGGGAAGGAAGTGCTGAGGGGGAACCAGAGCTCTCAAACTCCTGGTAGGGTGCTGGTGTCCTCCGGATGAGGAGGTGATGCCCATCCAGGTCTGTCATGTGAGGCCTCAGTTACCTCAGGGTGAGGAAGTGAGGAGTCACGAGTTTGCTGAGCCTCTTGCAACCAAGCGCCTTTGGGAAATGAAGTTCCCAATCAGAATCTCATTTTTCTCAGTAGCAAAATCTGAGAATTTAAAGTAATGGTTCTGATTGTCCTGTCGAGGTGAGTCCACCTCAGCTGTTATGCTGGGAGAAAAGAGAAAACAGGATTCACTTGACAGGACTTACCTTTATGATCAACTTCTCTAGAATTCAAACTGAGTGATATAAAAATAGAAACCCTATTGTCCAACCATAGGTGGGATGGGTGAGTCTTAATTTTCATCCCTCCAGCAAGTTTGCTTAAAGATTGAGAATTATGGAATGCAACTTGGAATAAACTAAGTTTTGATACCATAGTTTCTGTCATTCCACTATTTTTTAAATAAGAATAATCCAGAAAATTTCAGCAGCCAGACCTTTAATTAAAGCCAAAGGGCAATTTTAAAATTCGTTCTTTTAATTAATTGTCTTTCGGGTTGTACATTCTGTGACTATGCTCCTCTTGGTCATTAATTATGTACAGTTTGCACTTAGAAAAAAAAATCAAGATATGGTTGAAACAGCAGACAGAAATGAAATTAATCCAAACTATGGAGAAATATAACAGTCTATAATATAAAAGTTTGGGCTGGGGAGATGACTCAGTGGATAAGTGCTTCCCCGGCAAGCACAAGGCCTGAGTTCAATCCCCAGTTCTGAAAAAGAAAAAAAAAGTCTATGTACTTTATATAGATCCGTCCTTTAATAGAAACTAAAATTAAATTCATTGGCTAAACTGAGAACTGCTATGGACATAAGATCATCATCCGGTCTATACATCTGATAGTTGTTCTCCCATAATTCTTATCAATTGAGATCTGTAATTAAATAACAATTTAGAGATTGAAGACTTATAATCATTTGTAAATTGCATCCTGTTTATATGAGACAAGGAACTGTTTGAATCAGTCTCAAAATTGATTCCAAATTATCTGAAGATGCATTTCCATATTGAACCATTCTAGTTTTTTAAATACCCATTTGCCATAATCAGCTCCACAGTGGATTAGAAATAGAAATTAAGGTCTTGAAAATGGAAACGAATACTATGGACTCTTCCCCAAGCGCCACCAGGCACACTGCTGCGGTCTTGACCTGTCGGGGAAGTGCTGATTCCACTGAGCCATCTCCCCGGCTCTTGCTTTGACCCGTCAAGTCCAATCTACTGCAGGATTCTCAGCCTCGACTGCCGGTAGACTGCTGGGGAATTCTCTGAAACCTCCTGATGTCGAGATTGCACTTGAGCCCAATGAAATCAGGCTCCGTGGGTGAGGAACCTGGGTGTCATTTCCCAGAACACTGTCATATGCAGCCCAGCATGAACAGGAATAGCCTAGGCAATAAATTTCCAAGCAGACTGGCTGTGCTGTATTGGCTTAAATTTAGCAGCGTGAAGCATATCTGTTGCAATTTTTCAATTCTTCTGTAGAAAATTGTTCAGTTCAATAGAGATGAAGCTATTGCTTTAAGAAAGTCAAGTAATCAGCACCCGACAGGCTGGCAGCCCGGCTTCTGCCGCCAGGGAGGGATTCCGGGGGGTGTGTATTGCTTGTGTCAATCTGCCTTGCATGAATAATAAAAATTAGAGGTTTAGGGCCAGCGAGATAGCTCAGTGGACTAAGCACTTGCTTAGGTAAGTGCAGGGGCCAGGGTTCGATTCCTGGTACCACAGGCCATGCTGGCCCTGCCCCCAGGTGCGCTGAGCTGGCAATGGAGTCCGGGCATGGTGGCGCATGCCTATAATCCCAGCACTAGGGAGACTGATAATAGGAGGATCATTATGAGTCTGAGCTGCATAGTGAGACTCTACACACACACACACACACACACACTCACACACACACAAAACACATTAAAAAAAGAGGTTTAACTTAATCATCCAGCACATCTGTTTGCTACTTTCCCCCAATTCTGTCATTTAAATTTCTTAAAGAAAAGAAAGAAAAAAGACTCAACTAAGTCATGTATTCTACACTTCAAAATCAAAGCATTTTTATGACCACGACTGACAGCTAATGGACATTATTAAGCAAAATTCATATAAAAATGCTAACAACGCTCCTATCCACCAACTATTTCTTAACATGCTGGTTTAAAACATCCCTTTACACAACCAAGGGAAAGAAAAGAAATATCTTATCACCCTAAAAATAAGAAAAGCCCTTTCTCTGAAAAAAGGTGAAAGTGGGTTTGTGTTTGGGTTACGTTTTTCTCCTCGTGGTTATTGCTTTTAAATCGTGCATGTTCACAATGCAGGCTGCGAGCATGAGAGGTGAGGAGCCCGTGAAGGGCCGGTGGGAAGGCGCTCCCCAATCTCCAGGGTTTGCTAACAGGCTTCTGAGCGAGTTGCCGGTCCGCACAGAAGGTGGGAGAAGGCAGCAGGGAGAGGCTGCATCAGCTACCACGTCCTTGAGACAAAGATGGTGCCGTTTTGGACTTTAGAATGGTTCCTATGCAGCTTCTTTTATTTTTGCATAATCAAATAAACAAGAGGGGTTTTTCCATGGGGGAAAAGAAGAGAAAGCCAGGTAAAATGGAAGAAGTTGCTAACATGCCTCGCGGCGACCCGCAGGACGCAGCTTGCTCAGCTCTCGTGGGCCTTGCGCTCCTGCACAGGACACGGTCCCGGAGGCCACTGGTGAACCTGGGCCAGCTGAATTGGAAACGCGGGTTAGAATTTCTGTGTGGCTGGGTGCGTAGGCTGTGCGGGGGCCGAGTGTTCCGGCAGGTAGACCGAGTAGCTGAGAAAATTATAGAGGAAGAAGAAACCGCGAGATGAGTGGGAGAGGAGCGGCAGAAACCCTTCGGGCCTTTGGGGACAAACAGCTGCCACCCGGCTGGGGCGAACGTCCTCTGCACCCCGCAGACGGCCCCTTCTGCTCCCGCAGGCGCAGCTCACCCTACCTCCGTGTGGGATGGCAGACGAGCAGGCCCACCGGCTCCTTGCTGCTTGAGCAGAGACTCGGACAGAGCGAGGTGGTGTCGTTTTGCCCACCACTGACGACCACGAGAAGCCGGGAGCTGGGACCCCAGGGGCTGCCCTGATTTGCTGCCTCTCCGAGCCTGGCTTCTCAGCCAGTCTGTGAATTCTGACTGTCTTTTGCTCGTAATTCACGAATCCCAACAGTGTTCTCTGTGTTCCTTGAGGTCCCAGCTCACGTGCATTTGGGAGCTGCGTAGCTGTTGGTTTTGGGGTTTGTGAGGCACTGTGGTATCTTCTCCCTCGACAAGCTAGTTCACGATGTTTCTGACTTGTGTCTGTAGGCTCAGCTGACTCCACGTTTTCACGCCCCCCCTATCGCGTGGGCGGTCCTGAGCGTATTAAAAGCAGGCACGAGGCCTCCTGATCTCTACTCTGGCCTCGAAGGCCATCAGCGAGATAATCTGGATTCTTGCTACCATTCTGCATGCTCTGCGGAGCCTCACTTACTCATTTTCATTTTGGAAGCAGGGAGATCTTGGAGAGAAATTCATAACAAAGGTATACTCCGTGAACAACAGGATTAAAAGCTTATCAAATACAAACACGGTGCTAAATAATGTATGATCCTTTGAACAGGAGCCAGATCTTTTCATGAAAAAAGACCTTATTTCTTCTATCAAGCAACATTAAATGAAATTATAGTACTACCATTAAATCCGACTGTACACCAATAATTTTTCATTTCCAGTAGTACTCTTCTTTATTAAAAATCTTTATTAAATAACACAATATGCCAGCTAATATAATAAGTGCTGCCTTCGACTCGATGTTAATGTGCTTGGCACACAAATCAAGGCTGGCTACCCGACTGCGGAAGCACACAATTTCTGTCTCGTAAAGCCCTGAGTAGAGCTGCCCTGACAGAGCCCGGAAGACCAGAGAAAGCCTCCGGGCGTTCTCCAGGCCCAGGTCACGGGAGCGCGAGGCCTGGCAGGTGTTCAAACGGTGGCTTCGTATTAAATCTGGATCCACAGAGCCAGATTACTACTGTTCAACAATAATTGGTAAAAGATTAAAAAGACAAAGCACAGGACAATGCTGAGCCGCTTAAGTGATTAACAATGTTGTGCTCTTTAGCAAACTCTGGATAAACTAAAATGAAATGGGGGTAGCAGGCCAGAGCCAACGAAGTGTGGCCCTAAAGTCGCACTGAGTCCTGTTTGCTTTCCCGAGTCTAAGAAAAGAGGACTGTCTGGAATGTCCGGCACAGAGTGGGGTGAATAAAACGAGGCAATTTAAAAGTCTTTTCATCATATTTTATTTTTCATACAAATATAGCATAGAATAAAAGGCTCCCGGATATCTTTTAAACAAGAATACATTTTCTGTGGTATATCAGGCCATCATTTACAGATTAACACTGCAAACATTTTGAGTGAATAACTTATTTACATAAAATATAAAATAAAATTATATGCAACATGAAAATGAAAACAAATAACCAATTCCAAGTCCTAAATCTTGTCTCTATTAATTCCTTCACAGACTCAAAATCACACATCTATAGAGAACATAAGGATTCCTCGCACTGAACATTATCCATAAAGTGAATCAACCTCTCTCCGTGCTGTGCGGCTCCGGCTGCCCTCTTGCTGCCGCCGTGAGCGTCCCGTCGCTGCCGCCGTCCCGCTGCTGCCCCCTTCCGGCCCGACCGCTGACCGCGTGGCTGCTCCGCCCCAGAAGGTGCGCTACACCAACTCGTAGTACTTCCCTGTCTGCGGGTCAAAGTAGCAGTTCAGACACGGGTCGTACAGCAGGGTCAGCACCTCCTCGTCCTCCTCCACGCTCAGGTCTTCCTCACCTGCGGGGAAGGGGGACCACAGACACATCAGCAGCCAACTCCTAAGCCGTGAGGCAGCAAGGGCGATGGTGGTGAGGCCGCTGGCCATCTCTCCAGGGGTGGGGAGGTCGTCTTTGTGCAGGCGAAGGTCAGCCTGAAAAGGGGAGGTGCACTGGAGGGACGAACCACAGCACTGGCTGTGTAGGGCACAGGAGAGCTGGAGGGGACCCCGAGGGCCAGCTTTGCAATGAGAGTTAAAGAGACAGCATGGCGAAGCAGTGCGGATGCGCCCAAAGATGGGGACAGGGCCACAGGATGAAAGAGTTGTGCTGTGTGCAGATTAGGGAGTGGGCAGGGTTTAGACCTTAAGCATCACAGTTTTAAACTACCTGGGCCAGAGCTGTAATAAGTACAAAGGGGCACAAATTAAAGGACAAGATAATTAGTCTGCATTCATGCATCTTAAAAAGGCTACCAAACAAATAAAATAATGGTGCTTTAAATTCAAGACAACTGAAGCACAGAACATACACAGAAAACAGCACACCGGGCGATGTGTGGTTTTAGTACCGGCAGAAGCTCTAGGTCTGCTGGGATGTGAACAAGGCATCATTTTCTAAAAGTGGTCACTGAAATGGTGTGCATAAAGTGAAATCCCACTGGCGAAGCCACTAGCAGAGTTCCTAAGATGAGAGTTACCAGGGTGCTTTCTGAGCACCTTCACAGGCCCAGCTTTGTGCTAAGTGCTTCGGCTTTTGGGAGTGGGTCCTTCATCTACATGTACCATCAAGGACCAAGGTGATGAAGCATCGAGGCTGTGCGCACCAGGTCCCCTTCTCAAGGACTTGGGGAAGGGGCGTGAACGTGGCTTGGTAAGTTCAGAGGCTCAGCAACAGCTGAGTGTGAGCACAGTGTTGGGGATCAGAGCCAGGGAAAGGGTGGCCAGAGGAGCCCACTGGACCTGCCACAGTGAGACCAACCAGTACCTCGTCACGGTCAGGATGTTTAGGTCCAAGTGGGGGGTCGAGGGCTTGAGGCCACACCGTGGCTAGTCCTCTGCCTGTCTTTCTTGTGACCATCCGAATGTGTAACAGGATCCTCCCAGGAACTAGGTCCCGAGTTGGGTGTTGAGGGACATAATGGTGACAAGAAACAGGTGCTCCCAGCAAGGAGCATGCAGTGACGTGGGCAGGCTGTGCCATCAGCTGACCTTCAGGAGCTGAGGCCAGCGCCGGTCATCCTTAGAGTGGTGTGCAGCCGGGGGATACAAGCATGTCTGGACCGGTCTTGGTCAGTGAGCCTCGACGGCTTACAGAGCTCTTCCTCGATGGCCCCTTACGCCCTGGGCACAGGCGGGTGGCACAGGCGGGTGGCACAGACGGGTGGCACAGGTGGGTGGCACAGGGCCTACCAAGTTAAGCAGCTGTCTGAGGTTGTCGGGTGAATTAAGAGGCAGGGTAGGACTTCTAGAGCCAAGTTCAGCGTTCTTTCTGGAGTCAGAGGCTGCTAATGTGAGCTGGATCTAGCACTGGGGGCTCCCTTATACTAAGCCAACCGAAGCCCAAATCAAGGCCAACGGCAAAACAAAACTTACCCCCCATCTAGCTGAACCTGTCCATGTTACTTCTAACTGCGGACTTCCCACTGTAATCGCCACATAGGTGTTCTTGGTCTAGCTCCTCATGAAAGCTCCACTCGCGGCCCCTTCAGGAAAGTGCAGTTGTCGGTGGTCTGGTGCTACCAGTTCAACGCTTGTCTGCTCATATAGACTCTTACAGTGTGAATGTACTTAAGCTTCTCTTTTAATGCCATGCTTGATGCTTTGTGGAGGAGGTGGTGTTAACACATTTAATTTGGGAGCTACTATGTTAAAGGGATTTGAATAGGAGAAATACTACCAAAAAAAAAAAAAAAAAAAAGTAAAGGTGTTCTCCATTTTAAAGCATCAGATTAGAAAAAGTAATTGTTTTTCTCATATTTTAGGAACTGCTGGTGAACATCACAGAGCACACCGGCGAGGGCCCGGTGGGGACCTCAGAGCGCCCGGAGGAGCCGCGGAGACAAAGCTTGCGCGGGCCAGCAGCCCTTCTGGCTCCCCCCCCGGGGGGGGGGCACGCGAGCGAGTGAGGCTCAGAAGGCCTCGCTGGGGCTGGAGGAGGGGGGCTGGGGCAGCAGGGCTCCTGGCAGAGGTCAAGAGAGCCCGGATGTTGGCTCCAGCGCTGCAAGACCTCGGTGCAGTGCAGGCCAGCAGCAGGCTGAACACATCCTCTGCAATGCGCGAGGCGGGCTGGGGCAACCCTGGGCGCACCCTGCTGAGGGGCCTCAGGAGCCTCTGAAGAGCCGCGTGCCCCGGGGCTGCGCAGCTTCGCGTCTCCGCGGTAGGCGGAGGGACTTTGCTAACAGCAGGCTGGACTGTCAGTAGGAGCTGGCACAGTCCCTGGTTAAGAGCAGCACGTGGGGAAGGGAGGGGCCCTTTCCCTACCGCCTGCTGCGTTACAAGGGGCCCCCGCGGCCCTCCCCTCCCCTTCCTCTAAGTGGGAGAGGATGAAACATCATTTGGGGGATGGGACCTGGGACCTGGGCCAGGGCCTTGCACCGGAGCTGCCTGGGCTACAGCCGCAACCCTTTGCAATTTTGTTCCGAGGCAGTCTTGCTAAATCGCCTGGGCTTGGACCCCTCCTGCCTCACACTCCAGACGAGCTGGGATTACGGTCCTGTGCCGTCGCGCCCAGCAAGAAATACTGCTCTCAGCCGGTCAGTCCCTAGTGACAAGCACCGCCGGACTCCCGTGTCACTTCTGCACAGCACGGTGAGGCGCGTGGCCTTCGTCTTTAGGTATTCCACCTGCGGCCCCCGGAAACCTTGGGCTTCTGGGCACAGCTGCGCCAAGCCAGCTTCTTCGGAGGCTTGCCGCTGTGCCTGCCGCATGAGCGGGCTGGCTCCAGTCTAGCTGCAGAGGTGACACGCACAGCACGCCAGCAGCTGCTGAAGAGTAGCCAGCAGTTACCTGGGAGTCTCCTGCGGAGGGGCGAGGCACCCCGAGGCTCCAGGGCACCGCTGTGGCCGGGGTGCTGCTGTTACCGCATGACTCGCTGCAGGCTGCAGGTAGGTGTACTCAGTGGGCCTTGGCTTCTCTGTTCATGAAATGGCAGCGACTCTGCCTACTTCACAGGGTTTTGTGAAAGATTAAATTGAACATCCTATTACATGTAGCACAGTGGATATAGTAATTGCTCAGTTAACAGTGCTACCACTATTTTTTTTTTTTTTTTTTTTT